ACTAAAGCTACATCCTTCCCTGAGGTGTGGCCTACATCTAAGATATATGTGTATGTCCTGGCAAGGTCCTCTCTCTTTGCATCTGGATCCTGCGTCCGGTTGGTGATCAATTGGCCTTCCCAGAGACTTGCTGTCTGACCTGCCGATTCTGGGATTCGCTAGCCTCCACAGACCCTTGGGCCAGTGGCCTATTGTGTGACTTGATTTGCCAGCTTCCACCACCTTGTGAGCCAGCAGCCTGTGGTCTGAACTGCTGGTTTGGGTTCGTCAGCTCTGGCAGCTACGTGGGTTGGGAGAAGCCTACAACTGACCCACGAATTTGGGACTTGTCAGCCTCCACAACTGTGTAAGCCATTTCCTTTATATGGTTCGTGAGTTCTGTGAGATGTTGCAGTGAATTAGGAAATCCAAAGATGGGAGGGAGAGTGCTGAGGGGAGAGGGAGTAGTTGATGTTAGAGATGATGGAGGGGTACAGCAGCTTGGAAAAGTTGGACATTTGGGACATCTTTAACCTCTGCCTCATAGGAACCAGGTTTGTGCTGATACTTATAAAAGACATTATTTGTTTACCATCGTATTAGACTGCTTTTGGATTGTGCAATGTCTAGAGTGTAGATATTAAAAATGTAGTTCTCAGACTAGTAGCACCAGTATAAGCTTGGAGCTTGGTAGGAATACAAAATCTCAGCCTCACTCCAGGCTTACTGAATCAGAATCTACATCTTAAAACATCTCTAGGTGACTCATATGCACTTTAAAATTTAAGAAATAGTTGTCTAGGACATACACTATATGTCCTTGAAAAAAATATATGTTCTTGAAAGAAATAGTCGTTTTTGTGTTGCAGATTAAGAATTACTTTAAAATTTGCCTCAAAAGCTTGGTTTCTGAGACCAAGACTGCAATAAATAGGTGACAGGTTAAAAGGTTTCTGCTCTATTAGGAAACAGTTTTCTAATAACTTGAACTATCTTGCTGTGATATAAGCTAGCCGTATAAGGCCCTGAGTTAAATTCAAATGACTAAGAGGTTTTGTAGAACATATTCCTACTGGGCATGAAAGATTGGAGTTAATGACACCTATGGGCCCTTCTCACAAGAAGATCCGGTTAATGTACACAGAAGGCAAATGGGATGCTGCTGATCTCCACCAAGATCATTGTATATGATTCATGATTTGGCAAAAAGGCTTGCAATGAGGCTACACCAACAGCTTGATTCCAAATGAAAACAAAACGTGCCGTTTTTACCTTATAAGGAATACCAGGATTGACTAATGGCTACATCCCTGCCTGGGTTCTAGCTGAATATACAGTTGACAGTTTAAAGACAACATAATTTTCAAATACCTGAACAGAGCCACAATCACACTCTTCTCCTTCATCCAACTTCTTGTTTCCACAATATGGAAAATCACTTAACTTATTGGAAAATGCAGTATTCGACATGCACGTTGGCTTATAATCTTTCAGATATTTCAGGTATTGGTTTCTGCTACATTTACTAAATTTTAGTGCAGGAATACTAGAGATAAGATGAGTTAAAAATAAACATTAGTAGTATTAATGTATAGTGGTAGTACAATTGTAAACATTTTATGAAGAACTTAGAAACAACAATTATAAATTATAAACTCTAAAAGTCCATTAACATCTCTTATACTTATCTTTAATCTTACAGCAGAGCAGTAACTGGGTTCTTTATTATAGGAAAGTTATTGACACACAGCCAACACATGCTGTTTTAGTGACAATGATCTGGCAAACCTTTCCTGAAGCCTGCAGTTTAAGACTAATTGTCTGTGTTTGCTGCTCCCCTATTGCCTTTTATTTGTCTCTCTTGTAATAACTTGTATAATTGTTTATCACCCCTACAAGATTATAAACTTCTCAAGGCAGGGGCTGTAGCCAGTTCAATTTTTTTTAAAGTCATCATTAGTTAACACAGTGTCTACCACAGAGTAGTCTTATAAAAATATTTGGTGAATGAAATTATTTATTTAATAATATCTTACACATCCCAAGAATGTGATATACTTCTTTGAAACTGAAATTTTTACACCTCTCCCATCTTTCTTCGGTTTTGATATTACGTCGACACAGTGATTAAAAAACATATTACATATAGTCCTGATTACATTAGATTGAGACAGTGGTACCACTGAAAAAATATTACTGATTATGTAGATAATGATGTAAAACTAGATACCAGGGAGGCAGACTCAACATGGCAATATAGACAGAAGCACCAAACCGTCCCTTTGCAGCAAAGACCTGAAAAACTAAGTAAAACAGATAAAAATGTCAATCCTGGCACCCATCCCTCCATCAAATGCAGGGATAAAGACTAGATCAAACTCTGAATGGATGAAGAAACTGAAGAAAAACAGAGAACGAGGAGAGCTGTGGAGTGGAGATCCCCTGGCAACTAACATGGCAGAGTGTCACCGTCTTGGGGCACAGACAGCAATGATCCTGGGCAGGGAGAATGGGAAGGCAACTTCA